GTTACTCTGACGGGTGGCTTGATAGGCTCCTCCCTTATTATTATAGTAACGATCTCCCCCATTTGAGTTCGAGCTGGGTCTGTAAGGTCTGCTTCCACCTCTAATAGTTTGACTATTCCCTGAAGGTCTGTCTTTTCTCGACTCTGGTTGATAGTCATTTACACATTCGACGGCTCCCATGGCCGCGCTCAAATCAGTAACCTTCTGTCTCTGGAGTTCGGTGCGCGTCCACTGTTTCAACCCTTCCATGAAGGTGAATAGCTTATCATTTTCCGACATATCTTAAATATTCAGCATATGTCCTGAAAAGGCTTTTACACTCTCTCTGATGGAGCTTGTATGTTTCAGTTCTCATAGTGCCCGTCGTGCTTGATATTCAACATTTTCTAGGAAAAACTGTGATTTGATCTCTTCTTTGAGGAGATCCTAAGAATCTATTTGAACCTTGTTGGCATGAATATCAGCATATTTTCTTTGTCACCATAGTTTTGCATCTCCACAAAGATACATGGTAGCTGTTATAACATTTCTTACTCCGTCTTCGATCGAAGTCGCAAGAAAGTATTGTCCCATATCGAACAAGATGTTCTCGACTTCTTTTGCATCGCATACTCCTCCGTAGGTACATGATAGGAATGTAAAATACACATTTTACATATTTATTTAATGCACTCATATGAATATTTTATGCCTAAATGTACTTAATATTCTCGTATTTTGGTCTAGGTGGCAATGCGATGGATATGGCGTAATTTGGAAGAAATAAGAGGAAAATGACCAAAATGAAAGAAAGCGAAAGTTCGGGAATCAAAGTGTAAATATTCAAAAGTTGTATCGAATCTCACGATGAAGACTTGAGAGTGTTAGAGGCCAATTGGATGAAGAAATAAGTCAAATGGATGAAATATAGCCAAGACATTCTCACATATCAATTTTCAAGTTGAAAAGTTTTGCATCGATTTTCAGCCTCATATTGAAACCAATTTTGGACATGGAAAACGATCTAATTCGAAGATAGTTTCTGAAGCAAAGTTGTAGCCCTTTAAGTTATATTTTCAACGCATCTTAAATCGCCTCAATCGGATATTGAGAGAGAAAGTTATATAAAAAATACTTAGAACTGTGAAGCTGTCGAAAATTAGGCGAGGCGCGCGCCCTCGCCTGCAGAAGATGCGCACCCCCAGGCCGAAAATCCCTCACTTGAGGCTTCCAAATCCCCCAAGGTTACACTAGGCGCGCGCCTCAAGGCTAAAAAGGGAAAATATCTAATTTTCTTTATTTTTGTTTAATTACTTATGTAAACTTTTTGGACGCGTTTTTCTTGACCTAAATTCGACCAGAAGCTATCAGAATGCCTCCAACCTATTTTCTCTCTATTTTTTTTAGATCTATCATGTGTAACTAACTCTTGGTTCTTGATTGAAGGATACCGAAGCCTTGGAAAACATTATAATTGTGAAATCCACCTATTTTTATTATTTAATTTATATTTTCAGTATTGAATATTCTTCTATGCATAATTTTATGATTGCGATGTTTGATT